TGGAAGTGGATCTTCTTACCCAACTATCCCTGCCTGATTTCTGAAAAAATTAATCACAAATTAGAAAAATAAAAAACAACAAACCACCTACACCTAGGAGGAAAGGATTGTGTTATACATCCGTTCATAGGATAAAAGCAACCATCTCCCTGTTTTTTCACAGGTGTCAGTAATGAACACTGAGGTGGGGAAACTGAGGCAAAGCTGCTCATGACCTTCCTGAGGTACCACAGAAAACAGCAGATGTCACTGGCTCTTCCAGCTGATGACCAAGCTGCAGAAAACCTTTCCCAACAACAGGATGCGTTTGCACAGAGATACTGAGGCCACTGAACTCATATTTGTAATACACAAAGTGTAACATTTTACGCAGCTCTAGTTTTACTATTTGATTTAAAGTAATAATGAATTGCGGTCCTTGCCCAGGAAACACTCGAGTGAAGCCCCTTCATTCAAACACGACTCTTCTAAATTAACATGGAGAGGACTACGTGCATGGCCACTGTGGGATTCTCTCTCTAAATGCCTGCCTGTACCTCAAGTTAATTTACCCAAGTATTACTTACACGCCTTTCAGTGTGATTATGGTTCTCCCAGATAAGTAGAGACATTTAAATTTTCCTTTTCCTTTTAATTTCCAAATGTTTACACACTGTAGCCTGTTTGTTGAACTGTTTACTAAAGCCAGCACTTGCTCCACTGTATCAACCTCCTCCTCAGTTCCTCAGAGTTTTACTCCACCAGCATCAGAGCTCGTTTCTGGGCTGTGAACAAACTGCTCCCTTCCCTCTTTGTCAAAACAAATATTCCTAAATGCCGGAATCACCCACTTCACCCTGCAGCTGAGCACCTCAAATGGAAAAAAGACCCTTTTTCTTCAAAATCACTACCAGAATATAAACACGCACACACTACATGAGCTTGAGACAGGTTCCCAAACAAGCCCGTGTTAAACCATATCTCCTTGACTGAGCCACCCTCAGATTCTCAGAGATTAAATGTATAAATTCAGTGTGGCCAGATTCCATACATATATGTTTTTAACAGTTAAGACAGCTTTTTGACAGTCTAAGCTGAATTATAGACCCAAAACTGGCTGGTGGTGGCTCCTCCTAAATAAGGCCACACACCCATGAGGATATACTTTTGTATAATTACACACGGGGAAAAGCTGGAGGAGAAATAGGTTGAGGGATTTGCTCTAAACCACCAAGTCTGTGACTGAATTGAGAGGGCTTGACCAAACCAAATTTAACTAACAGATTTGGAGAAATCACTGCCGTTAAGAAGAATTGCTGGATGTGCGAGAGGTCAGACTACCTATGCAGGCTGAATCCCCTGCCTGTCTTTAATCTCCCGGCCAATCATCCACTCAATGCACCATTTCTATTTCTGATGAGGTTTTTCTTCTTAGTTTGCAGCCCTTATAAATCTGATCCGTCATTGCAGAATTTCTAATAATATGAGATAAAACTTCACCGATCTCTCTCTGGAATAAACTATTTAATATCCTTTATTTAAGACATGTGTGTGCAATCAATTCTGTGGTATTTACTTGTATTACACACACAGTATTCATCATCTTGACAATTTTTTAAAGTTTTAGAACACCATTTCACTTAACAGTTTAAAAAAAAAAAAAGGAAGATTTATTTGATGGTTAACTCTGGAACAAGTTATCTGCATTAACTTCCATTGTTTTGGCATAAAGTAGTTCTGTGTATTTTACTAACAACAGTGGAGACATGATAAAGGATGTAGGCAGAGCGCCATAAACAGCTCTCACTGCAACCTACAGTGTTCCTGCAAAAGCAGTAATTTTTTGGCCTTTGATTGGAAGTTGTCTCTGTGCTCAGCCCCTTGGATTTTACTAAACACAACCACGTATAAAAACCTTGTACCTGAATATAGCAATTTTAACTGCGGAAAGACCATTGTAAATCATATGTAGTATAAACTTGTCCATATGATTGGAATGATATAATGGATATTGTAGTCCCTAACCACTAGCTAATGTTCTTTATGACACTTAAATAAATGACCTGAAAATAAACTAATAACAACACGAGCTCTTCTAAACCTGCTCATGTGCATTTCCCAAAAGCATGCTGGGGAAAGACAGTGTCTAGTTAGCACATTTTTTCTGTTTACATTTTTGCTCCAGCTATTCTATTTTTCCTCTTCCAGACTCACATTAATTCTTCTTTTCTGCCACCTTCCAGACAGAGTCATCTCTCCATCAAGTACCTGCCCAGATCTCGGTCAGTTATGAACATCAAGGGCTTACAGGACTTCTACATCACCATCCAGGAGTCTATAACCTGGAGGAAAAAGGGAAAAAAAAAAAGTGCTCGAGTATTTTATTTGGAGCCAGCAGCTACGCCCACAAAGATCATCAAAGTTTTTTAAATCCCTATCTAAATTTCAGAAGATTCAAATTATTACAAATTGCAAGTTTTTTCTAACACTTTCATCACTGATCTGGATGAGGGGATTGAGT